ATATGGGAGTTTAGCTAATCATTTTTTCGGTTACTTTTGTACATTCTTTTTATTTATGGGTATTTCCACATTCTTTTATTTATCGAAATTGTAACGTGGTGGATTAGGCTTTTTCCCATGAGAACTATGTCTCTAACCTTTTTTCTCTAGTGCCAAATTGGGTTAAAACTGCAGTAATAAAGGAAATTATGGTGTAAAAAGGATTGATTTGGATAAATAATATTGATGTTGAGAAAAAAAAAAGATACGAACTTCTTTTTCGTATATATTGAAAGTATATGGTACTATCTTTTGTCTTCTTCTAATGAAAGAAGGAAGACACTATATTTTGTTTGAACTAAATTGATGGTTTTTTAGTTAAGAATGTGAATAACATTTAAAAATTAAAATGTTTTTTTAAGATTGATTAACAAAATGCATAAACCTATCTAATTGATTCATTCAAAAAAAAAAAAAATGCACAGAGACAAACAACTTGAGATCGTTTTACATATAACTAGACTTGAATTTGTAAAACATATATTATTAGGTTAATGTTATAAAATTAACTAACATATGTAGAGATTTTCACCATGATATATAATTTTAATCAAAATATGTTAATTGATTCAATTAAATCGACTTGTCTTTTAAAAAATTCTTTGAATAACACCTAGGACATGGTTGACTTTGATGATACCACATCGTATCTCCATGACCATCCCCTCTCGTAGAAATCACACTTATGACTTATCGGTTTTATATATGTTTCCAACCTTTGTCCTAACTCGCACGTAGATGTGGTAGAACGAGTTTAATTCAGCCAAGTCCATCTTGAGTTACAATATTTAGGAGATATCTCACCCCACTTCATTTGTTTTATGAGTTGTTAATTGTTATCAAACAATTCTAGCTTAGAGTGCTTATTTGGATATATATGATTCATGTCATGTACTAGCATAACTGGCTTGTTAAGATGTGGTTCAGTGATCGGAAAACGAATCCTTGGATACATGAAGGTGAAGACGTTTCCTCGTACATGTTGCATTATGATTTTCATCTTATTTTCTTAATGAATGCGAGATAGCTAGTTTAATCTTATCTTTACATGTCACATGTGAAAAAGTTAATTCGAATTGTGTAAAGTTCACATGTGAGAGGGTTCAAATATTAAAGTGAAAACGACTTATTTGACCCGGATTATGATAAAAGATTAGATTTTCGACCAAAAAAAAAAAAAAAGATTAGATAATTTGCTGGAGGGATCATGCTTATTTATGGTTCTCTGATCACTCAATCACGTGTACTTCTTTAGTCGGGCATCTCGACCACACTATCGGCTGATAAAGAGCCTAGATAACATGTGATCTCTACCCATTATATATGTTCCAATTTTTTTGTAAGATCGATCACATATTATTTGAACTAAACCAAAAATTAATAATTAAACGAACCAAATGACGATAAGAGATTCATTATGTATATTGTCGAGTTACCATACTTTGTAAATAACAATTTATCGAGTATGAAAGTACATAGAATCAATGGCAAAAAGAAGTACAAAAATGTGTATATACTAAAAAAAAAAGATAATCACGATCACTTATCTCCCTTCTCATTTCAAAAATCAATAAAAAAAAAATTATGAAAGAGTGATTACCCTCTAAATCTTGTGTTGTTATTGTTAATGTTACCATTATCTTTGATCGTTCTAAATGCAATGACCTCACTTAGCACGACACATGTGCCGCGCCACACATGCCGCACGTTTCCCCTTAATTGATTAAAATAAATTCCAACTTAGTTGCTATCATTACATGTTTAAAATATTAATTTCTTCTTTCTTTTGGTGTTTATATTTCAGCTAATTAGGAATTGAAAACAGTTAAACACAGAATTAATTTGTGTCATGTGGACCAAACCTTAGATTTGCCGCCAATATGATTGGACACGTAACCCCTCAGCCTCCTATCTGATGCTACCACGTGGACACATACCAAATATTTTCCGGATCTCAAGCCGGTCGGCAAAAGAACCAGCGAAAATTTCGTTTTATGCATCTTCTTTGGTGCATTTATGGCCGTTGGATCCGAATGAGACTGCCGATATCTCTTTCGATCTTACATGTGAACTTGTCATTTGCGCAAGTAAAGTACCAAATCATTTGTACATCTTTAGGACCAAGTAATAAACAAATGTGGAGACGGTACATAGTAAAAAAGTGTTTTTTTTTATTTTGCTAAAAGTATAGTAAAAGAGTGTTGCGGATTGATTTAGAACTCCCTTGTTTAAACGTAATGAGAGTTGATGCGGATGTGAGAATTTGTGGAAGTATCCGATTAACAACATTGTTTAAGTAAAGTTTCTTTGTGGATCTGTTTAAGTATGCAAACATAAGTACTCTAAACTACATGTGATGTTTAGAGATTCATCGAAACTATTTACATATGATGTTAAGAAATTTGCATTAACCATTTACATATTATACTAAAAAATTCACCTAAATTAAAAGATCGATTTATATTATAAAAAATACTATGTTCTTTGTACAATAATTGATATAATGATTCGAAGCATAGTGTTTGGATGACAGTTTTAAC